CCAAAGTCAAATCAGCTCTGCCTCAGGACTAAATAGATATTAACCAGATACAAATAATGGGGACGTTTGGGAAGCCTGTATATGTATTGCACGCAATTTGTATTTTCAGGCCACCAGGCACCCCAGCTAACGACCTGTCTTTGAACTGGAGTAGGCATTGACGTGAGAGCGCGACAGACTCTGCCTCTTTTCGCATTGTAGCAATGTTCTTTATCAGAAGTTACGATTTGTTGATGCTGACCTTTGACCATGTTACTATTCGTTAACATTACTTTTATTCCAAGTCAGCTCAAAAACGATGCAGTTAAAGACGCTTAGCTGAATGGTTTTTCCGTTTAGTATCATGTGCAGAATTTTGACACATGCACGCATAGGGCTAGCAGGACGAATATGTGCGGATAAATTGTCCAAAAACTCACCTGTACCCTTGAGAGTTATAGCGTTGAAAAAGAAAATTTGAGAAACATATTTGCAAAACTGTAACACAAGATTCATTGGCACACTCCCTCTTATGTTAGTTACCGTGAAAAGGGATTGCCAGCAAAAAATCTCCAAATGCATTGTTGCTTCAGGCTTGAATTAAATAAAAGTAACGTAAATGAGCATACAGCATGGAGCAACGGCAAATATCAGCAAACACGTATGGTTGATTCGTTGACCGCACGGGTAGGACATCACTGCGGAGCACGCGCCGCAAGTTAAACGCTTGCCCCAGTACAAACTCGCCATTGTACAAGTCTTTCTCTCGCGAACGTTCAGTCGCGTCGCGCGTGGTCCGTAACATTTGAGCAGTGCGTGCGGTCAACGAATCGAAAATAACTAATTAAGAACACTGCTACAATGCAAAAGAAAGAAGAATAAATACAAAAAGCTCATGCAAAAAGCGCATCCTGACGCGCTCTGACGCCAACCTCCTATTCTGGTTCAGTTATGAACTCGCCACTGAATGTATAGTGCGTTGAGGACGTCCATATACTCAGCCCAAAATTCGCCATTTTTTGATTCAGTCAGATAAGTACAGCACTAAAGCTGCCTGAATTCCCAAATGGAGTGTGATATTGAATGCAAGAGGTGTAGGTTTATTTACCTAAGTGGATCAAGCCATGCAAACAAGCTTCGACGTAAGAGAACTTTCAGAATCTAAATGGTCATGCATACCAGACAACTCCCAACAATTTTAGGTTGTACCTACAGCCTAAAATTCAGAGGGAGTATTGAAGCAAAGTGAGGGACCTTAACTTTTACTCAAGGAAAGATTCAGCGACGGTTTGGAAACGCGTTGCGTGTGCGCGATAATAGTAGCTATGGAAATTTGGCCGAGACACGTCACTATGTGCGACATGTCGTAATTGTCGTCAAAAGCTTTGAATTGTTTGAAAATTTTTTATTAAAATAAGTACGTGCAGTAGACGAAAACGGACTAGTAATGGTTTCAATACTTTTCTTCTGCCGTAAGGACTAGTAATGATTTATTGAAGTGCTCTTGCGTATAGGCAGCACTAGCGCACGAGAAAATGTTCACGATTGATTCAGCGTTGTTTACGGTATATATTGAAATAGTTTGGGTTTTGACTGAATGCCTATTCACATCTGAAACTGTAATAAAGTTCCTTAGTATCATTTCTTTCACTCTTCAAACTCAAGAAGTACTAGATTGGTAAGAATTATGAAAGGGCAAAGTTAAATTTCGATAAGCTACTTCCGCTCGCGTTAGCCGCCAGATCGCTCAGCTTCTGTGCGACCGGACAAGCGCATAGCAATAATTAGCAAATACCGAACACTCCGAGGAACTAAATGCACATGCCGGTGTTTGCGTGCTGCTCGGCCGCAATTTTGTCTGAGTATATACAGGATGTAAAAAGCCAACATGCAGACATACATACATACATACAGGGCGATCGCAAAGTGTGAGCGTCACAATATGTCACATATCTTTCTTTGTATGTATTAGTTTGTCTAACAAGTTCGTTCGCAATTTTTATTTGATTTTTCTCAGTGTTTTGTACAGGGTCAAATGCTTACATGCTTTGCTTTTTGCAACGCTCTCATCCTGATCTATCATAATCGTTGCTTCAGTTTACAAAAACGGTGGACTGGACTTTTTGGAGCTTACAACTTGGAGAAGCGAGAAACTGAAATTTCCATTTTTGACAGCTGCAATTAGTCGCTTTGAAACCTGCATTTATATCAGGCGTTTTTAAAACTGCAACGTGAATGGAAACAATTCCATAGCTTTAGAGCTTTGGTTAGAATTGTTGAACTAGATCGCTATCTGCACACATGGAGAAGGAGCGCATGTCACAAGCTATTTTTGCTACAAAACAATGTTTGATTATTTCCACTTGTTGTTTTTTGCATTTTGCTCTAAACGGTCCACGACTGGGAGTTATATTGATCAAGAATGATATGCGTAGTGCTCTATTTTCCTGAACCCTTTCTATTAATATCTGCTCCTTTTTGTGTAACGGAACTTAAACTAGACACAAGGTAAGTCACGCTCATCACATCAAACATTTTCGAAAAGGAATTCAGTGTTAAGTGTTGACAGTGGCTAAGTGTTCACATATATCATATGCAATCATAAACGCGGCCAATTTTTTCGAGAAACTGGACTACTAATCAAAGTTACCGCAGTTGTTTTCACACCGGCACGCCATGAGAGGCAACTCACTTGTACTGTTTTACAACTAGATCTTGAATCCAACACACAGGGTGTCCCAAAAGTATGTATACACTGTTTGATCGTTAATCTCTCTCTTCCCAAAAGGACTTTTGCCTACCTTTGAGTGCCATCTTGTAGAGCTGGCTTCAACTTAGATTTACAGCAGAGCGAATCACCGATTACTTTTCATTAGTGTAGGATTAAGGTAGGGACCAGGGCCCGGCACGAGGTCGGCAAATGACAAGCTGGAAATCGTTTTGGGGGCAAAAAGCAAAGGGGAAATCGCTTTTGCTGGGTCCGGGGCGGAGCCCCGGAAAAAAAATTGGTAGTTCATGCTCGCTACTTATCTTGACATGTTACGTGCCTCAACAGGCGAACACTGGAGTTCGCGCGCGTCAAACCGCGCCGTCGCTAATTGCCGCACGCGCGACGTCGCCCAAGCGATGCTATTTGTAACAGCATGCATGACTAGTTCTCAATGTATGTGTAACGATATGGCACCAAATTTTGTATGCGAACGGAGAGAGGCTAGTGGAAACATATTATGAAAATTTATGAAAAACTTATGTGAACGGAACGAGTAATTAGCATTTTTTCCGAGAATTTCGCAAAACTGGTAAATAAAGATGTGAATTCAAACGGCTCGTTTGGAACGCGCAGATGAACGATATGGCATGAAACTTGGTAAGTACATGCACACGGACTTGCAGGGCTTAACTGAGGAGTTTCATTGAAAAATTATGTGACTGAAGGTTGTGGCAAACTTTTTTCTGAAAATTTTGCGCTACCAAAGAAATGGAAAAATGGCTCGTTTGCAACGCAGAGGTAACGAAATCGCGCGGGATTCGGTGTGTGTATGCGCAGTAGGACTAAGTAACTAAGTATGAAATATTATGAAAAACTTATGTGAATGAAAAGTTTCCTTAACTAATTTCCAAATTAGGTCGGCATTTGCCGACCTAATTTGGAAATTAGTTAAGGACTCTGAGGTCGGCAAAACTCTCAGTTCACATAATTTTTTCAAAATTTTTACATAAATCTGTTGTACACCTAAAGTTTACTACATGGTGAAATTTTGGTTCCGAAACTCCTCCTCTTGACCTTGTTAGAGAGCAAAATCGCATCAGCAGCCTAGCTTTTTAAGATGGAAAGCGCGCTCCAGTCAATCGATACGCGCGGGAGCGGCGTCTCTCATTCCTATGACAGCGTTTCTTTAATATTTTCTCATTCCTTAATCATTTTCTTGCTTGTTTTTCTTCCTGTTTTCTATCTTGATCCAGCTGAGGAGTAATCTGAGGAATTCGAGCAATTTGGGCGCTTTTGAGCGCTTTTAGGCGAAGTGTGGCCGGTAATCTCGTCACACAAGCACAAAACATCATTTTTAGGCTCAAGGGGGTATTCGTAAAATTTATTGGGATCAAAGGGGAATTCGTTTTGGAAAACCCCGTTTGCCCACCTCGTGCCGGGCCCTGTAGGGACTTTTAGCTAACAGCGTCTTTGTGGATTAATCATGTTTGAGAAAAAGTCTCCAATAAATCCAGAAAGTGGTGTATCAGGGTTTTTACGCGCGCTGATTTCATTGCTTATTTGCGCGTTTGTGAGCTTTTCAGATGATGTAATCACAATTTTAGGAAACATTGTAAAAACAGCCATTGCAGTATACCTGGCATAACTTACGAAGGAAGCATTGCGGTAAAGTCAAAGTTTACGGTTAGTTTTCGGGGCTCTAATTAGCCTAGTGTAAGAGTTTTAAGGTTGCTTGGTTTGCTTTTTGAGGCGAAATAAGGCCCCCAACGGCTTAGAACCCTTCCCGAAGTTCCTACCGTAATCCCACAGTAATGAAGAGGATCGATGACTTGCTCCATAGTGAACCTAAGCCGAAACCAGCTCTACAAAATATTACCTGAAGCCAGGCAAAAGGCTTTTTTCGGAAGAGAGATATCAACTAACAAACAGTGTATACATACTTTTGGGACACCCTATATTTTTAACCTTTCGTTCCAAGTAAACCTCTTGGTACCGGGTAGAGGACTATATGTCGCCGAAATGGGCTTTCCCGCGGTCACCTGTTAACAAATACATACTCTTTCACATGCATGGAGGTGCGTTTTTGCAGGAAATCCGCGCGGGACCTTCCTACAGTCGGCGCCATGTAGTTCTCCACCCCTTGTTACCCCGTGAACGAAAAAACAGCTGCGCATCAACTAAGCCTGCTTGACAACGATCAATTCAAACAAATCACTTTTCCCTCTCAATTTCCTTTCTACCTGACACACATTCACTTATCTAATTTCTCTCTCGAATTTGAAAAACTAGTAATCATCATACGTGCTTTCAGATTAATGGATGTTTTCAAATTTACAACATCTATGTCTCACGGTACCGTTGCCCACAACGAGTTGCCTTCTGTTCAGCGTCACCAAACAAACTTGTGCTACAAGTACAGAACTTTGATATTGGGTAATTATTGAGTGATTTTCACTAAAACTGTATCCAAAAAAACGCTTTGGGATTGTGCAGCTTTAAGATGTCAAAAACACTCAAATGTTTCTATATTCAATTATATTTATATTTCTATATAATTGGCAACCAACTTTGAAATCACTCTTGTTCCCATCACATCTCGCATATCATATAGTGCTTGACTACTTCTGCTGTTTTAGAATCACTGGTAATCTTGGTGGTCAGATCGTTTTTCTACTACCCATACCACTTACTGGAATTTTTCAAGCAAACATATGTCAGGTGAGTTCAATAGCTTCTATAAATGTATTACTTTGTCGGATAATTTTTATTACACTTTTTTCTAAAAATTCTAGGAAATCCCAAAAGCTTTCTGAAAACCCCAAATTTGCAACACGCTTAGGACAAAGCAGGATCTATCTAGCAGCATGATTGATGCCGCAAGTGCACTAAAGACCAACAAGTTTACGGCAGTTTTGTAAAAGCAGTCAAATTTTTCAGTTTTCGTGTGATCTCTTTCTCTGCACCTATTTGCGCTTTCCCTCTTCCAGAATTTTTTTAGAATGTATTTTAGCATTGTCTCTTACATGTAGGCATTCCGTTGCCGCTAGCACTTCATAAAGGAGGGGTGAAAAAAATATCAAAAAAAATTCAAAAACTTTCTCAATTTTTTCTTTTTATGTACATCGTATAGAAATGAATACAGAAAACATAAAAATGATTTTTGAAATTTTCTGAAGACGTTTTCTTCGTAAAAATTTCGATGATTGCAAAGATGGCGCACACTGAGATTTGAACCGCTCACAAAAACGTGTGCAGACGTGTCTGCGTTATCCTCCTATATTAGCTAAACGCTACAGACTATGCCCTACCTCATTGCCACATTGTCCGGTTTATCGCTCATCACCTGGGAGAACGCCAGCTCATATACAAAAATGGGAAGAAACGAATTTTTAGTCACAAAGTGGATGTTTTGCGCACGGATCGAGGATGCGACGGTAACCTTGTATAGGCCTTTTAACCCTGCCCATACGCCGTGAACGTGATATCTTTCCAAAGCTTCTGAGATTTTTAAGAATTAAAATAAAAAGTGTAACAGAAACATATATATGAAAAACGTGATTTATAATAAGAGACGCCACTGAGTAGATTTATGATCAACTTTTCTCAGGAAATTGAATCAAAGTAGAATCAAGGCAGTCGATGATGAAGGATCGTTGGAGGTTCTTCCATTATATTTGAAAAAGGGCATTGTCGTCAAATCATGCGAACGAAATCTGTTCAGGTGAATTATAATTTCCAGGTGTCTATCACCGTCGAGTTAACAGTCGAACGAGGACCATATGGCCCATATCTCCGAGCTTCAAGTTGTAATGTCCAAGTTGGCTACGTAGACGCTTACATCGACAACGGTGGCCTCATTGGTGGCATTGCCAACACTTTTTTTAGAGTGAGCTCCACCTATTTGAATCTTCTTAGGATAATAAAGGCCACCTTCATTTTATAATATCTTTTTTGTATTTCAGTCAATGATCTCAAGTCAAGTGCGCGAGATGATACCCAATATGATTTGTAGTCAAGTACCCAATTTGATCAATGAAAAAGTTAACACCTTATTAGCACGTCTACCGCAGACCATTTGCATTTCGCAAATGATCAGTTCATTCATTGGATCATTGATGGGAGTTAGTGCAACACCCAGCCAGCAATATGTGAGAAAATTACGTCAGACTTTCTGGGAAAAATTCAGCATGAAAATTACTGAAAAAGTTTTCAGTGTCAAACTCAATGCAGAGGATTTGCGTACGGAAAATATGCGCTGGCCAGAGGTACACCACAATGGGTTTACCAGACTAATCAGGTAATTTAAAACAGGTTTAAGCCAAGGCACATCAAGGATGACGCATATTCAGGCTAATACTTTACGTCAAATCGCTCAACCACTTCGCCCTGTTGTTCGTGCTGCACCTACACATTATCTTGATACCCATTTCGGTCAGAGATACCGACAGAGGACGGTAAGTATACGGATTGTGGAACGAATACTATCATCACGCGTTCCATTCGTCAATTCGCCTACTATTAGTCTTTCTACACGATATGCCATTGCATGTCAGGACCAACAGTCCTGAAGGCTTTTCTGATAACGGTACTCGCTCCTCTATCCGTAGCTATTCTACTGAGGGTGTGGATACTCCACTCATATCGTAGATGCTCAAAAATTCTATCATAATGACATTACGCAGCGAGCGTCGTTTCCTTGGAAATCACATGTAATGCGAATCCATTTTTTGAATATCCTCAAAATGACAAGCAATTATGTAAGCTATAGCCCTTAACCCAAAAAATGATCTAAAAATTCTTTTTCGAAATGGCGCTAGGAATGATTTTGTGAATCATCCTTTTGTACAGCTCCTACCTCAGATGTATACCGATAAGATTTTTGCACAGGGATAGGCCCTTGGTGTTACTACCTAATGGCGACTATCAAGTCCAAAGAAATACTGTTTTAAATTCCATTTGCACTTCTGCAAACAAATCTAGTCTTTTCAACTTATATGAGGAGCCTTAGATGAGTGGTTGCTTCCAAATCCGTTATGATCGACAACATTGGTTACAAGGAAATGGCAAGATGTCGAAGTGGCCAATCCAAACAAGCTGCACACCTTTACATGCAGTATAAAACGCTGACTCTGTATATAATGTGTTCCTGCAAAGACCATCAACTTGCTAGGAAATCGTGCGTGCAGAGTGTGAGTGCAAATTTGTTCACACAGCGCCATGTTGTTTGATCTGGGCTAAAATGTACAGCTAGGTTACTCATATGGCCCATACTTAACACGTTTCGGACCGCGGGATCGCGCGCGTCCGAAAAGAGGGTACTTTTAGCCGTTTGCCAACAAAGGCACCTTAATCCGTAGTGCGGTACATCTATAATCAGCTTGTCAGATAAGTTCCATACCCAAAGTTCTGAGTGAATTCGAAGTGTTTGCATTTTCTCGCTTGAGAAGGACTTCTGTGCTTTCCTGTAGGATAGAAACAAGAACTCAGTTTCTAATAATATGCAAAAGTATCTATGTTGTGAACGGTAAACATCAGTATTGAAACTACGGTGCTTCTCTTTGATATTGAAGCAAAAGCTGCGAAGTCGCACGCGTCGTTCGCATTGCCGCATTTTGTTGCAACTGTTGTTCAATTTGTCCTCATATCGTCTGGACAAATATCGACAGCACAACACTACAGAGTAATTTGAAAAGTAGAAGCTTAGGCTGACTTGTGATGTGGAACGCGTTGAGTCGTTGACGATTTATTAGAAAAACACAAGAGTTCTTCCTCTGCCTATCAGCGTACATGCCGAGGGTTCACTAGGAATAACTAGAGAACAACACACACAAATATATCAAGGTGCGGCGGGTACGCCGCAACCACAGAAACCATATCGACCTAGCCTATAGTGAGTAAGCAAGTTCCAATATAAGGGACGGCTCTACAACACCTCCCTCCTAAGATGAACAACGGTACATCTTATAAGGATCTTCTTGTAGACGTTCTGGTGGGCGACGATGGCGATTTGGTCTGGTTGATGTCGGTGGCGTAGACGAGGTGGCTTGGTGTTCAGCAGCATCCATAGTGTTGGCATACTCGCGGAACGGTACGTACGTTGGCGTAAGCGGGGGACAGGTTATCCTTAGGCCTCATACCGTCTTCTGATGAGCGTCTTCTTGGACGCGAACAGCTTCTGGAGATTTGCGACCGTGGTGTCGAAGTCCAAGTCGCTTGGTTGCGCAGGCAGAACCTCATCGGCATACTTTCTGTATGCTTCTTCATCCAGCTTCATGAGGATCAAGTCGCGCTTCTTCTGATCCGGAAGCTGAGAGTCGCGAATGACCGATCCGTACCTGCCATACCAGTACGCAAAGGTGTTACCTGTCTCTTCGTCTAAGACGAACCTTTGCACGTCCTTACTCAGCTGATCGTACTGATCCTTGCTGGTGTCTTGGACGGCTCCCTGATTACTGGTCAAAGCCGTGACCAACGTCTTCATCTGCTCCTGTTGTGCTTGCCATTGCATTTGCATTTGCTCCTGTTGAGCTTGCAACTACACTTGCATTTGCTCTTGTTGGGCTTGTAGGCGAGCCTGCATTTGTTCCTGTTGAATGCATATGCAGCTTCATCTCCTCCTGTTGGAGCCGCATCTGGTCGACCATGACTGAAAGGACCTTCTCCAGAGAGTCGTGACCATGCCGTCCTTCACTGGCTTTCGGCATGGTGGACCTCTCCTCAACGACTTCTTCTGTTGAATCAATAATCTTCTTAGCAGAGCTTACTTGTTTGGCTGTCCTCGACGTGTGACAGCTTCCTCCCCGATCCGAGCTGCAGCAATTCTTCTTGTCCTTGATTGGTGGAGGCTTCTGGTCCTTGGTCGCTGGAGCTTCTTCTGGTCCTTGGTCGGTGGAGGCTTCTTCTTTCCTTGATCCTGATCGCCAATTGTTGTGGAACGCGTTGAGTCGTTGACGATTTATTAGAAAAACACAAGAGTTCTTCCTCTGCCTATCAGCGTACATGCCGAGGGTTCACTAGGAATAACTAAAGAACAACACACACAAATATATCAAGGTGTGGCGGGTACGCCGCAACCACAGAGACCATATCGACCTAGCCTATAGTGAGTGAGCAAGTTCCAATATAAGGGACGGCTCTACAACAACTTGATAACCTTGTACAAAAAGGAAATCTCCTGTAAACGTTAGAAAGATCCTTCAAAGCAGCGTGCTGCGCCATGTGCAGCACCGGTCCGAAACGTGCTAAAGGTGTTGAAAGGGCAGTAGCGTGCTCAACTTTGAGATTTAAGTACAATTTTTGCAAGAAAACTAGCTCATAGCTCTTCAGCAGACAAGGAGTACAGATTTGAAGTCATCGTTGTAAACTGCATTGCGTGTACCTTATTTGAATTGGCCAATCTGACTTCTGACTCTTTTCAGTGAGTTTCACAGCCAGAAACAAGGAAGGCATATAAATATCAAGCCGTTTCATAACTTCGTAGAGTGTTCATTCTCGCTCTCATTTCCTTGAGGACGAATGAACACTTGAGGAGGGGTCGACTCATGGCAAAATGCGCACTTTTCTGAAAGGACCTGTGCATGCCCTTTCAAGTAAATTTATTGGTTTCGATGAAAAGGTCTTACACAATCCTCAGCTTCCAAATATGGAAATCTTATGAGCCGAAAACGAGCATTTTTGACATCTGCGCATTTTTTTTAATAAAAAGAAGCATTTTTGCGCAGATTTTTTACCGATCATGAAAAATGGGTTTTATACTTGGGTAATTCGATAATTTTTTATCGAATGAATGAATCTTATATATAAAGCTGAATGTCTGTCTGTATGTATGTATGTCTGTCTGTATGTATGTCTGTACGTATGTGCGGAATAGAAATTTTTATTTCTGAACCGATCGGGACCAAACTTGGCACACATATACTTCGGGGCAGGGAGCGTGTCATAGGCTACTTTTCGTTATCGATCAATATCGATTTTATCGATTTTTTGCAAAATTCGAGCTAGAGGGCTGGGATTTGGCAGAGGGAGGTAATCGAGCATGCTGATCACCCCGAAGGGGGTGATCAGCATGCTCGATTACCCCCCTGTGCAAAATCCTAGCCCCCTAGCTCAAATTTTGCAAAAAATCGGTAAAATCGACATCGATCGATAACGAAAAGTGGACTGTGACAGGCTCCCTGCCCCGAAGAGTATGTGTGCAAAGTTCGGTTCCAATCGGTTCAGAAATAAACATTTCTATCCGGAACATACGTACACGGGTCTAGCTGGCAGGCCCGGCGGAGCCGGGCAAGCCAGCTAGTATCGAATAAATTCCAAAAGGAAAAATCTCGAATAAACGAGTATCGAATAAATTCGGAAAACAAAAATATCGAATGAATGAATTTTGAATAAATTCGGAAAAACGAAAATATCGAATGAATGAATATCGAATATATTCGAGCATTGGAAGTCGAATTTCGAAAAAATATTCGAATGACTTATCGAATAACTAAAGCAATCACAACTCAAACTTGCCGACATATCTGGCTAAAGCCGATCCAATCATAATCAGCCCCTAGTATCCCCTATACCAACTCCTAGCTCAAAATTTTCCAAAATTGCTGAAATCAATAAAATAAATTTTGGTTTTGATCAGCACCCTCACTTACCCCTTTGTACCAGTTCCCAACCTCGTAGCTCAAGATTCTCCAAAATTCGATGAAATCAATAAAGTAAATTTTTATTTTTATTTATCAGCACCCTCACTTATCCCCTTGTACCAATTCCCAACCTCGTAGCTCAAGATTTTCCAAAAATTGATAAAGTCGGTCGGCAACTAGTCTATACATCAGCAAAAAGTCATATTTTACCCAGTATTGGACGATCTAAAAAAGCATATATAAATTTCTATGCTGTGCCCAAAAGATTCTTCTTCATATGGTCTGAAAGAGTCTGATGTGCACTATACTTGGGTAATTCGGAAATTTTTCATCGAATGAATGAATATCGAATAAATTCGAAAATGAAAAATCCCGAATAAACGAATATCGAATAAATTCGAGTTTCAAAATTTTTCGAATGAATGAATTAATAAATTCGGAAAATCAAAAATGTCGAATGAATGAATATCGAATATATTCAAACATTGGAAACCGAATTCCGAATAAATATTCGAATGATTTATCGAATAATTAGAGCAACCATATCTCAAACTTGCCGACATATCTGGTTAAAGCCGATCCATGCATATTCAGCACCCCCGTATCCCCTATACCAACTCCTAGCTCAAAATTTTCCAAAAATCAATATGTACTTAAATCAATATGTACTTGAATTCCACAAATGCTACGATACATTGCCTGCTCATCGGAGACTTTCGTCTTGTGTGGTATAAGCTAGTCGTGGACGAAGGCATGTGGTTTCTTACGCGAAGCGAGCACGAATGCCCCTACAACCCCGGGCATACTGCAGGCATTTCAGTGGCGACGTGGTATGGCAATACTCAAATTGTCCAAAACCTATTCTGAAACTACAGAATGCAGGGCATTTATCTTTTTTGTATGTTGTACACGCTAAACATTTGTGGTAAGCTGCCATTACATCTGAAGACATCTCGTAACTGGCAAATCGCGTACGGCGATCTAAACCGTCTAATCCTGCACTACAACTGCGAAGTCCTTTACTCAATATACACCAATTCGCAAAAAACTCCAAGGTAACGAATAGGCGGTTTTGCAATAATTTATGCGAGCAAGAGTGCTCACTAGTGTGGGCTTTGCGTACCGCAAGCATGAGCAATGCAAAGAAAGAAGAACAGCCATTTCAATTCAGTATGAACTCAGAACATGAGCTTAAATTTGATATCTTCTTCGCTGATTTGGTGCCAATAGCAGTGCGAAAAATCTCAGTGATCGAAAAAACATCAATCAAAATCCACATATGGTTTTTTTTTACTGTCGCAAGTCGAAAGAATGCGACTCTCCATACCCTTCAAAGGTATGACGGTTGCAAAAGATGCATTACCGAGTTTTGCGAGAAAAAAAAACGCGGACGAAGTGAGCTTGATACTCAGCAGTTGGCTCTGCAACAAAGTCGAATAATCTGAATACGGAGTTCATTCGAGTTCGAATAAACATTCGAATAAAACATTCGAATAAAATCTATTCGAAACCCCGATTTTTGATTATTCGAGTTTTCGAATAATATTCGAATCCTCCTTTTTTGATTAATCGAGTTTTCGAATTTTATTCGAAACCCTATTTTTTGATTATTCGAGTTTTCGAATTTTATTCGAAACCCTGTTTTTTGATTATTCGAGTTTCGAATTTTATTCGAAAATGGAAGAACTCCGGATGTCGAATTTCGAATACGAATATATTCGAATGTTTTATTCGAATGATCGAATTTCTACACGATTCGGGCTCAAGTATAATGTGCACCAGAATTAACTTTATTTCTTATCAGCATCAACAATGTAAAAGCAAAGGGCTTGCTCTACTTTCTACATGATTGGGATACTTTTCTTCCACCGTACGGGTAAGAACCGTTTCTGTACACTTTGATCCTGCGGCTTTGTTCGACAGCAGACCTTATTTGTCAGACTTCCACTAGATTTCAAAAACGTTTAGCAGAGTAGAGATAAAATTGGCTGGAGCTAAAATCTAAAAATGAGAAACATTGCAACGGTATAAGCACCTAACGAGCTGTTCGGATTCATAGCGCTAGGTGTGCGATTTGAAGCAATAAGGTGGCCACAATGTACTTAAATTCCACAAATGCTACGATACATTGCCTGTTCATCGGAGGCTTTCGTCTTGTGTGGTATAAGCTAGTCGTGGACGAAGACATGTGGTTTCCTCCGCGAAGCGAGCACGAATGCCCCTACAACCCCGGGCATACTGCAGGCATTTCAGTGGCGACGTGGTATGGCAATACTCAAATTGTCCAAAACCTATTCTGAAACTACAGAATGCAGGGCATTTATCTTTTTAGTATGTTGTACACGCTAAACATTTGTGGTAAGCTGCCATTACCTCTGAAGACATCTCGTAACTGGCAAATCGCGTACGGCGATCTAAACCGTCTAATCCTGCACTACAACTGCGAAGTCCTTTACTCAATATACACCAATTCGCAAAAAACTCCAAGGTAACGAATAGGCGGTTTTGCAATAATTTATGCGAGCAAGAGTGCTCACTAGTGTGGGCTTTGCGTACCGCAAGCATGAGCAATGCAAAGAAAGAAGAACAGCCATTTCAATTCAGTATGATCTCAGAACATGAGCTTAAATTTGATATCTTCTTCGCTGATTTGGTGCCAATAGCAGTGCGAAAATCTCATTGATCGAAAAAACATCAATCAAAATCCACATATGGTTTTTTTACTGTCGCAAGTCGAAAGAATGCGACTCTCCATACCCTTCAAAGGTATGACGGTTGCAAAAGATGCATTACCGAGTTTTGCGAGAAAAAAAACGCGGACGAAGTGAGCTTGATACTCAGCAGTTGGCTCTGCAACAAAGTCGAATAATCTGAATACGGAGTACATTCGAATACGAATTCGAATTAACATTCGAATAAACCATTCGAATAAAATCTATTCGAAACCTCGTTTTTTGATTATTCGAGTTTTCGGATTTTATTCCAAACCCCGTTTTCTCAATTATTCGAGTTTCGAATATTATTCGAAACCCCGTTTTCTCAATTATTCGAGCTTCGAATTTTATTCGAAACCCCGTTTTCTCAATTATTCGAGTTTCGAATATTATTCGAAAATGGAAGAACTCCGAATATCGAATTTCGAACACGAATATATTCGAATGTTTTATTCGAATGATCGAATTTCTATTCGATTCGGACCCAAGTATAGTTTGCACGGGACAAATGAGACATAAAAAAATCAAATTGTTCCAAAAGGCCAACCGTTAGGGGTGTCCCATGAATAAGATTTCTAGTGAGGCAGATCTTGCACTGGAATTCGCTGGACAAGAATAAAACAGTTAACCATGCCCTGCGCAACTCAACTGTACCGTTTGAATGGAACCATACTGAAAAAGAAGAAAAGGCCCTATACACAGGTCCACATTTGTCTGCACGATAGAATATGGCTCCGTACGGTAAACGTCGTCAAAACTGTCCTGCAAGACCTGATAAGAAGGTAAATTGGCATCAGTGTGCTACTGAGGTCGCGCTCTAGGAATTTATTGTCTGCTTTGGACTATCGCAAATCATATATAACACGTTTGCTACGATTTTGAAGACGATCTCAGGCTCTGATTAGACGACTATTTGAGATCAGGGTCCTTGAGCTCTTGCAAAATTTTAAAATATGACGGCAAGATGGCAGAAGGTCGAGCGCAACAAGGGTACTTACGATAATGACTGAATGGTGCAAAGTGTGTCATTTCGTTACTTTATGGGAACTCTATGGACTAATAAAATGTCCTAATAGTGCCAATGTGAGCCTCTGCGAAGCAGAGGCTGCACACTTTTTTTTACGTAGAAGACATGGTCAGCGATCTAACTTCTCTAGGTAAACATGTCTGACTAGTAGCATGATCCTGAAAAGATATTTTTCAGCTTTACCCTTCAACTAAGATAGTAAAACGAGAAGTAGCTCGAGTTCATCGTCGTGGGTACGGTGTGCAGCAGTTCCAGGTTGCAGTTGGAAATTTCCAAGGGCAACAACAAAGCGGCCTCAGTGGTATTAGCAGACTTGCGGGAACACGTCTTTCACCTCCACCTCCGGTGAGATCCATCAAATCTGAAGATGTTTCAAAGAAACCGCAACTTTTCAGGTACCTGGTGCCCCTCCACCAATGTTGGTGCCACCGCCAACAAATCTCTGCGCAAATTGTCCAGTTACTGGTGGTGGTGGCGAGGATCCCATGCAGTTTGTCAGACTACTTGTCGGACAGCTTGACATGGTCAGACAGTGCGATGACAAAATTTCGCCATTTTTTCGCACACAAATATTTACAGCGCAAGTTCTATGATCTCTGCCTCTCTCTTCAATTATTGAATACTCAAGCAAGCTCAAATGACTTCACAATCAATCTCAGCGGCGAAATCAGTCCGAGCGCGCAAGGAGGTACACTTGCCGCAAGTTGAAATCGCTGCATTGTCATCAATCTATTATTAAGGAACACCATTTGGAGCTTTTCCCGTCACATTCCCCTCTTATTACGACAATCATATGGCCGAAATTATTATATCCGATTACACAATCAATTCATTATTATATTGGTTGCATAGGTAAGCATCAGAATTACGGTTTGTAATCTCAAGCGAATATTTGAGCTAAAGTTCATTTCTTGGTTTTTGCGCATCTCTGCTCGTCTATCCGCTTTTCTACTATTGCATCAATTGAAATAGCTGAAAGCAGGGACGTATAGTAATTATAACAAAACTTCTTCACCTAACATATAGAAGATATGACAAATTTGCTCTAGATAACAATTTCACGTGGTCACTTAAGGGTAAGTGCTTTTTAATGACTATGATCGGTGTGCTTATACAGCGAATGTGTTGTAAATAAAGCCGTCTGTCGGACGTTGAATAAAAAAAACTCTAGGAAAAACCTCAGGAATGCGGTTTCCGCTAACCTCAAAACTGGTAACAACCTCCAAAAGACCTCTGCTGCTTACATCCTATTTTTGGCCTCAATAATCTAGCTTTCCATTAATTGATGAATTGAAGTTGTTCTTTCTCTCAAAGGTACCTCGGCTTCATGATGTCTTACAAGGGAACGATACTTGGTGTCCGTGGCATTTTTAGATGAAAGTACACCATCACATTCGCCTTGGAACGCTGACTTCGAATCTGACTTCCCTTTCCGCTAATCGTTTTTCTAAAAGAAGTTATTATTGAAGGATTTCTCGTCGATGATCGCCTAAGAGAAATACGGTCAAGGGTGCCTAATTTTCAAAAAGAAGCTTGATTGAAGCAACCCAAAACTGAAAAACACAAAAGGACTCGAGCCTAAACCTGCATCAGCTTGCGAGGCTACCGTACTAGCCACTACACCACATCGTAGGTGCGGCCTTGGCATTCAGATCATATTTCGTTTGGCGCGAGAATCCTTCATAACTTTTTTCAGAGACACAATTAGCAAAAACGGAAGTCAAATTCGGAATCAGCTTTCCAAGACGAGTTTAACGGTGTACATCTCATCTCAAAAGGCTACGGACAGCGAGGATCGTTCCTGTTAGTGGGAATACAACATTTTTGCGGCCTCAAGGCTTTAATGATGTCTAAGCTTCGTTTCTATATTTATGTTTTTTAACTGTAGAATCTTGCTCGTCTTGATTGTTTGCTATTCCCAAACCTCTGACCGCGACGATACCAAGCGGAATGCGCAAGTCCACCGGGCAGTGTTCGCTCTTAGAAAGCCTCCAGACTGAGCCGCTTGCTGCTTTTGTAAGAAACGCAGTAGTTCAGGCTTTGTCCGCAGGGCATAAATCCGCTTAGCACTGATTTTAGCTCACTTTGGCATAGAACAGCAGATAGAGGACATAAGTCGCCAATAAGCTCCACCCATGCGGAATACTACACGAGCTGTGGAGGAAAAAAGTGCGCATTTGTTGCAGATGTGCGCGAGGGACCTCCCCTCCCAGCGATCTAATTTATTCACTCATGAATAGCTCCGCAGCTGTAGTTAGATCGAGAGGAAATTGTCTTCGACTATGATTCAATCACTCCAGCATCCTGAAACGGCAAAAAACGCAAGCCAGATCAGATAAACCACATTTGCTAAAAAATGTGCATTACAATGTAGAAAAAACCCTTCAGAAGGAAAGAATGGCGACAAAAATAAAACTGTGAAAGTACCTCATTAGTGCGAGTAAGTTCCCTATAAGGCACCACAGACAATTTCTGAACCAACACGCTTCAGCTGCAAAGCGGCAAGCATCTCAACGGCAACTGACGCGGTCTGAAGGCTCTCATATAGTGAGAACATCGCTGCATGCAGTGTCCAGCCAAATCTGGGCGCGTGGGTTTTCTCCCTGGAAACTGACGAGGGGGTTCTAGCTAAGGCACTGCCCAAGCGGCAGCGCAAATCATTTATTTACGGCGATCCATCCCCAAACACTCCGCGCCTGCGTCCTGACCTTAACTCGCGAGTAGGTTAGGGTGGGCCCAAGCGAAAGTAGTGTTGAAGTAAGCGAAGTCATTCTCCGGTTTCGGTCACGGCGCAGCGGCGGAGGGTTTAGGAGACGGATTTTCAGCCGTGAATGACATTTGCGCTGCTACTTGCGCAATACCTTAGTTATGGTCCCCTCGTCAGCCTCCAGGCGAAGAACCCATAGGCTCAAATCTGCTTGAACGCCGTTTTTAAGAAGACAACTCTCGCACCATTACTCAGCACCAGATGTTATCTCATCTCAAAAGTAGGTCAGTTACGTTTCGTTCAAAAGCAAATGATGCGAAATTTATTCAGAGTTATATAGCTAACGTAATATGATGGCTTATGAAATTTTGTAATCGAGAAAATCATAAAGGTTTCGGTAAGAAGCTCACAGAATGCTCGGAATAACCGAACAAAAGGACACTCTGAAAGCAGACAACTTTTTCTACCATAAACTTTGCCGCGGAGTGTTCATGCAGTTGTATTTAAACAAGTAGAGTGAAATGGAGGAAATTAAGATCTACAACGAGACATCGGCGTGAAAACGCGCGCTTGCAGCGCATTGCTGCGTTTGAGCGAGCGCACTGCCAGAAGGATCGAAGAGAGTAAATAAGAAGCAGACAGGTCACTTCACAGTTACTATTGCAAAGCTGTAGACGTGAAAGTTCGGCAATACAAACGCACATCGCCCCAATATCGGCCGAATACGATGCTGGCTGTGACAATTTCGGCGAACGCGGCTTTCATGATCTCCCATTGCATTCGTCTCCCCCCCCCCCCTCCCCGCCTCCCCTTTGCAAAGTACTTTTGTCTCAATAACAATTTTTTTTCCAGAAAACAGTTCTTGTCTCTCCGCATTGGTCCAGAGACTCCTGGAATTGGTGAGCTTTTGAGGACTACTTGTGGTGATGAAGATGAACAGTTGCAAGCTAACCAAATTGTGAGCTCAGTTTGGATTAGAAAATGCATGTACGTCACATTTTGTGTTCAATGGACAGACTCGTCGTCGGCATGCTCGAAAGACAACGAGTGCTTCGAAGCAAAAGCGAGATTCACCTAATCTAAAGATTCTATTGACATTGGCGGCGAAAAAAAGGCGATCAAAGCGACAAGGCGCTGGAGGATTGACTGACTTGGGCATCTGCTTCGGTGATATAGTGCCAGCCGTTAAAGAGAGGTATCCAAACCAGAAAGTTGCCATACAAATTCGGACAGCTCGTGCACCATCCATCATTATCTATGCTGCTTACGGAGGTTAGTTCAGAGATTACAATCATAACAGTTTGCATGAAATATATTTATGAATACTGCAGCTATTCAAGAAGTTCCTTTCCTTACACTATACTCATTTTCAGGTATGGTGAGCTTAGATCTCGTTCTAGATGCGGACATCTACATTCATGGAACCTACAATCGGGCAAGTCAGCTTTACCCCATCAAACCAATAGATGATTTTTGACATTCTGACAGTACTGAAGCCATTTCCCCGTACTACATAAAGCGAATACTGACCCAAAATTATTTCTGTTTTCGGCTTGGAAGACTTGCGAGACCTTGTTACCATTTGTATCATCGCTGGGAGGATTTGTATCATTCATTCTCTGATTTCTGACTAGAAGAAGAGCACGTTTTGCTACATTCCATTAACAGGTTCATGAATCAGTTTTGACTCGTTTTGGTTAAATATACTATTAGAATTTGTATAAGAACATGTTTGAGGTTGTCAAACCACGCTGGCTTGAACACGTTCTTTCACGATTTCCTGATAGTTATTAACCAAAACGCATTAGAAGTCATTCATGAACTTGTTGATCAAACGTACGCAAAGCGTGCTCGCGTCTCTTAGTCAGAGAATTTAAGCATGTCCACCAGAACTTCCCATAAGTTTGAGCATTTCATAGTCCATGGTTCTTACTTCGCCATTTACGACAATACAAGTTAGAAGAAATGAGCAATGGTTGCTAGAGCATTTTTAAGATAGACTGTTGAGAACTTCCCTTTTTTCCCCGTTTCTGCACAGCTTCGAATCAGTGTAATATTGAATTCGAAGACAAAATCTCATATGTTCAGCTACGTAAGTATGAAAACAGAAGCACTCTTAAAACAAATACAATCTCGCATTTGGAAGGAAGACAATGTTTAGGTCGGCACTATCACGATAGCCGCCAATGTTGTGCTTGCGACGCAGCTGCAAGGAAATGTACTACGTGGGTCTTCCGAAATCAGAAATATTAGGCTTTCGGACAGGACCGGTTCACTGGGGTTGCCTCAAGATGCACTTGATAATCTAGGAAATTTCGGAAAAGAACTGCTTCAGAAGGTACTTCCCATTTTGAAATTTTTACATAGAGCTAAACCAAACATTTGCAGCTGGTTAATGATGCACTGCAAAGAGGTATCCCCATAAGCAATTTCTTGAGCGGAATGGGCAATCTGCCATTCAATATCATCAATCCGGAAGTTCGCATCATCGAGCACGGACTGTACATTGCAACCGACCTAACCATTTCGCCATCGTTGCTTGGCGTCAGTAATGGCGGATGTTAATAGAGTAAGAATATAAACAGCAATCCCTTAAAAGTGACCGGATACTGTAGATTTTGCCTTCTTACGATTAGACTGTTCGGTCTGATTATGCGATTCTGCATGATACCACAAGGCTGTGAGGGTTCAAGTTATACCTCGTGTAATACAAAGATTTGGATTAAAACTAACTTGCACCATAGTTCACTCAACGACTTCTTCTGACATGACTTTTCTCCGTAAACACTGCATCATAAGGCAGTGTCCAGGCAAACTATGCTTACCTTTAGTCGTTGTGCTTGTCTCAAAAAACGCACCGGAAAAACACAAATGACTAATATAAGTTTTTCAAAGCTTTTTTTATGCTGAACATCTACGCGTGAACGCAGCATAGGGTAGAGGACACAAATCCTGTAAGCTTTTAAACGCAAAAGAACAACTTCGCTCTGGAATTGCAAGCCGTAAGTTAAGGTGATCTTCGCCGGCAAAAGATGGGTCGTAGATTTGAAGCAAAGGATCGTTTTGTGGCTTGAGTTACGCTTCTTTCTCTGAGACTCAACGGACCACTCTCTTATACTGATAAAAGAACATTCAACCTTGCTCGGACACTGCCTTGTGGTTGCCCACCTATTAGCGGCATCTGCGTTCTAGCTTCGCCCTAGTTGTGTTCCCTACAGGGCCCGGCACGAGTGGGCAAATGACAAGCTGGAAATCGTTTTGGGGCCAAAAAACAAATGGGATATCGTTTTTGCGAGATTCGGGGCGGAACTCCGGAAGAAGATTCCAAGTCCAAGCAAAAGAAGGTCGAAATGCTTACCTTATACGTCTAATTCATTGGGAAATAGTTTTCCTAAACCTCAACGCACAGTAGAGTTCGCGCCGCTACGCCGCGTTGCCGCTAATTGCCGCGTGCGCGACGTCGCATGAGCGGTACCGTTGAACAGCATGATTATATGATCAGTTCTCAATGCAGGCGTAACGATATAACACCAAATTATGTAAGCGAACGAAGAGGGGCTAGTAGAAACAAAGTTTGAAATATTATGAAAAACTTATGTGAATGAGAGGAGTGATAAGCATTTTTTCCAAAAAATTTGCAAAACTGGTAAATGAAGATGTGAATTCAAATGGCTCGTTTGCAGCGCACAGATGACCATACGGTATGAAATTTGGTAGGTACATGAAAACGAGCATGCAGGGCTTAACTTAGAAGTTTCATTGAAAAATTATGTGACTGAAGGTTGTGGCAAGCTTTTTTCTGAAAATTTTTCACTATCAAGAAAATGGAAAAATGGCTCGTTTGCAGCGCAGAGAAAACGAAATCGCGCGAGACTTGGCGTGTATACGCGCAGTAGGACTAAGGGACAACGTATGAAAAATTATGAAAAACTTATATGAATGAAGAGCGTGCTTGACTTTTTCCAAATTAGGTGGGCAATTGCCCACCTAATGCCGACCTGAGGTGGGCAAAACTTTCAATTCACATAATTTTTTCAAAATTTTTACATCAATCTGTTGTGCAGTAAAGTTTACTATATGGTGAAATTTTGGTTCCGAAACTTCTCCTCTTGTCTTTGTTAGAGCCCAAAATCGCATCAGCAGCCTCGCTTTCTAAGATGGAAAGCGCGCCCCAGTCAATCGATACGCGCGGGAACGACATCTCTCACTATGACTGCATTACTTTGATATTATTTCATTCCTTCATCATTTTTCTTACTTATTCTTCTTCCTGTTCTCTATCTTGATACAGGTGAGGAGTAATTAAAGGAATTTGAGCATTTTGGGCGCTTTTGAGCGGTTTTAGGCGAAGTGTGACCGATGCTCTCGTTGCACAAGCACAAAGCGTCATTTTTGGGCTCAAGCGGGTATTCGTAAAAACTATTGGGATCAGAGGGGAAATCGTTTTTGAAAACCCTGTTTGCCCACCTTGTGCCGGGCCCTGATTCTCTATAAAGTTGATAATGTTTTCGTAATTCATTGCCAATTTCTGCCAGTACATCTCACTTGTGAATCATTGTGATAATACATGATTACGGTGTTCTGTGTTAACAGTTACTGAAAATGAATATGAAATGGCGTTCAAAAGAGAGGAAGTTCAATGTAGCTATCGTCGAGTCATTTGTAACTTAATATGCGTAGTGAACATTATACACGCTAACTGACGAATTGCGAAACCAGCTCCAGTGTTTTCTCCTTGTTTCCTTATATCTTTTGTTTTTCTACATTTTATTAGGTTAGAAAATGTTTTGCTGGGAAGTTACTAGTATGGGTGCCGTCGCTAATACGGCTTAGTGTGTAATCTCACATACTAAGTTACAAATGACTCGAGGTTAACTGCAATTAGCTTCACGGTGGTCGCAAATGGTCGCATTTCACAGGTAACTGAAAACTAATCCTTTTTCCGTCATCAGGTCTATAGAGCACACAATAAGGTCTGCGCAAAAACGAATGGATCATATGCGCTCGCTTGACGTGTGAATCATGCGGGGCACATCAACTAGAGGCTATCGTATCAGAAAAATTGAACACACGGACGGGTGGCATAGAAAGCTACTGCACTATAGACTACAATGTAGAGCTTGGCAGTGTCCAGGCAAATCTGGTCGCATGGGTTTTCCGCCTGAAAATTGATGAGGGAGTCCTAACTAAGGGACTGCCCAAGAGGCAGCGCAAGTTGTTCATTCACGGCTGAGAAATCCATCCCCGAGAACCTTGCACCTGCGACGTGACCGTAACCCGAAACCGACTTCGCTCACTTTAGCACTGTGTTCGCGTTGGGACCCATCCCAAGTGTTACCGCGCAGCCGCTGACTGGGGGATGGATTTCTCAGCCGTGACTGAAGGATTTGCGCTGCTGTTTGGGCAATGCCTCAACTAGGACCCTCTTGACGGTTTCCAGGCAAAAAAACCTATATGCCCAGATTTGCCTGGACACTGCCTTTAACAAATTTTCTGTCGCGAGACACAGAATCAACGGCGCGAAATAATTATCCAAAAATGGACGAGAAGAGGAATGCATTGCCAACAAAACGCTTCGATTCTGAAGTATGCAGCGCTAGCTCATTCATTCAAGCTAGTCCTGGTGGTCTGCAATCCCCATAAGCAAGCATACATCTTACTAGCTGGCTTACCCGGCTCCGCCGTATCCGGACCAAACTTGGCACACATACACTTCGGGCCCCGGCGGGTGTCACAGTCCACTTTTCGTTATCGATCGATGTCGATTTTACCGATTTTTATCGATTTTTTCGCAGAGTTCACCTACAGGGCTAGGAGTTGGCACAGGGGGGAAGTGAGCATGGGAATTCCGAATACAATATTAGTTTTCAGAATTATCGGTTACTTTTATTGATTTTCTCGATTTTTTGTAAATTATGACATGCGAGGCTGAGATTTTGCACAGGGGGGGTAATCGAGCATGCTGATTACGAACACAATATTAGTTTTCAGGATCGTCCATTACTTTTATCGATTTTATCGATTTTTTTGTAAAGTTTGACCTGCGGGGCTGGGAGTTTGCACAGGGGGTAATCGAGCATGCAGATTACGAATACAATATTAGTTTTCAAGATAGTCCATTACTTTTATCGATTTTATCGATTTTTTGAAAATTTGAGCTAGGGGGCTGGAATTTGGCACAGGGGTGTAATCGAGCATGCTGATCACCCCCCTTGGGGATGATCAGCATGCTCGAATACCCCCCTGTGCCAACTCCCAGCCCCCTAGCTCCAACTTTGCAAAAAATCGATAAAATCGATAAAAGTAATCGATAATCCCGAAAACCAATATTGTATTCGGAATCCCCATGCTCGATTACCCCCTTGTGCGAACTCCCAGCCTCGTAGCTCAAACTTTGCAAAAAATCGATAAAATCGATAAAAGAAATCGATAATCCTGAAAACCAATATTGTATTCGGAATCCCCATGCTCGATTACCCCCCTGTGCCAACTCCCAGCCCCGTAGCTCAAACTTTGCAAAAAAATCGATAAAATCGATAAAAGTAATCGATAATCCTGAAAACCAATATTGTATTCGGAATCCCCATGCTCGATTACCCCCCTGTGCCAACTCCCAGCTCCGTAGGTGAACTCAGCAAAAAAATCGATAAAAATCGATAAAATCGATATCGATCGATGACGAAAAGTAGCCTATGACACCCGCCGGGGCCCGTAGTGTATGTGTGCCAAGTTTGGTCCGGATCGGTTCAGAAATGGAATTTTCTATTCGGAACATACGTACACACATACATACATACAGACAGACATACATACATACATACAAACAGACATTCAGCTTTATATATAAGATTTGCTCCTCATTTTTCAAGTCTTGGCCAAAGCGAAATGGCCCGAGTTTTAACCCAGTAAAGAACTGTCACTTGTCAAGGCTTAGCAAGTGCATAGACTGCAGTGCTAAGCTTTGACAACATGAGTCGCATAAAAATACACCGAAACAAGATTTATTCAAAGTCGAACATGGATTATCATGACGAGGGCCAGCGGAGTACCTTCGACTTGAAGAGGAGGTCTGCTGTTAAGACCGATAATGTCGACGAGTCTCTTCTCAGACTTCATCAAGGAGGAACAATTGCACCAGCAAGCGGTTTTTAAAAGACAAGTGGCAGATACACAAACTGGTATGCGGTCTCCTAGAGATGGCGTGGGACCCTAAAGTACCATACTTGTAAGAATACTTGTAATTCTTCAGTGTAACCTTGTCAAATCTTAGCGCCAGTCAATAGATCGTTCAAGTACAGCGTAAGCCCGCTCGCACCCAATTATGCTGTAAGAAAGCTTCAAAACTTCATTTAGCGCTTATCTGAGATGAGTAAAAATGGCTTTCGGAACTTTGGTGCTTTGCATCTTTGGAGCTCGCATTTAAATACTTCTTGTAATTGTGAAATTAAAGGTATAAATATTGGTAGACAAGACTAACCTTCGCAAACTAATTTTCAACCCCATTCAAAGTAATAAAGTTTTCTCAAGGTTCTGGGTAAAAGCGCAAAACCGCTTTTAGATGCGAT